ACCTTTGGGTTAAGTTGTCGCAAGCCGGTTTTTCTTGTGTTTCTTGTGAATTTGGCAATTTCAAGTGGCATTAAAAAGTCTTAAAAAGTCTTGAATTTAACTTGCCTTATGCTGTAGGAACCCTGGTTTCAGTCAGACTAGATATTCTTGTCTTTCTGTAGAGAATCTAACACCTGGTCATGTTGAAAGGTGAGGAAGAATCTTAAAGTGAGTGGCGACCATGAATTTAGACGGAATCTGAAGCAAAGAAACTCAAAAAATGATCAGCAAAGCCAGTTTGGCGGGTCGGCCATGACACTGACTGAATCACTGACCGCTCACCAGCAGGCTGGACTTTAGGTTAATAAGAAAGTCAACCCACTAAGCATAAACTGAGATTATTTAAAAGACGAAGGAGCAAACATTTTTCATTTACAAGCCGCTTAAATAAACTATTTAATTACAAATCAAACCTTCACTTCCTTTATTCTTTAGAAAGTGGCACCTTTAAAAAGTAAATTAGAAAATAAATCTCAAAAAGCCATGTTTTGTTTTAGTTTTTTTTACAGCGCTGTGCAAATATAGAAACGATTTTCTTAAATGTTCTTCCCCATTAACATTTTGCTCTTATTTTCATATCATTTCTGTCACTGATGAGTTTTTTTGTTTGTTATTAACCTTTTCACCTTTGGGAAAACATTCATCTAATTTTGCACTCCTCATTTTAACGAAGCCTTTTAATGTCTGCTGGCCTAATTTATTTTAATTATAACCGTGTAGACAGAGTATTAGTATTAAATCATTATTTTAGTAAAGAAATAAAATGATTGAAAATCACTTAAACTGAATCAAGAAAGGCTTTAGAAAAAAAATCCTCTTTGCTCAGAATTCTTTCATTTATGTCCCTAAAAGTCAAACTAAAGAACTAAACTCTTCCCATCGACATGATTATCAGAAATATTTCCTCATCAGACGTCCTTATTTTTGTCCTCCCATCCACATCAACCTTATTATTATTTCTAATGATTTTATTCTTATTTCATCATTTTCATCGTTGTTCTTTTTTTCCCTAAAGCATGTTTTGTGCTCTTAACATTTCAGGTCACTATTCCCCCTGGAAGACTCCAAAACAGGTAACATCAAACAGATTCAATGCACTGGATTTCCCTTCAGCTTATTTCCAAAATCCAGATCCTGTTCTGCTCCTTCTCTATCAAACTAACTCTACTAAAATCGCTGCTTTAATATATATAAAAGCAACAGGTCCAATTATCCTGTTAGTTTCTCTCAGCTTTGATGCTGTAATTTGGATTGACTGACACGCTGCCTTTTTAAAAAGCAGGAAACTCCTTTTTTCTTCTTCCTCATCTTCCTGCTTTATAGAAACTTTCTTCCTTTAAGCTTACAGGACATCAAATACTCTTTTAGATCAGATACAATTCTCTGTATTCTTTTTGTCCCGCTCTTAAGCCTCCACACATTTCTTCCGGCCTTTCTTTCTTCCTCTGTTTGTTTAATCCGTTTCACGCGTGGACGTCCTCCCAGCGCTGCTCTGACCAGTCCCTGAACCCGGCTGGGTTTGTCCCCCATTTCCAGAACCAGACCAACAACATAGTGGGTTTAAAGCACTTCTGTCACTTAAAATCCCTTCATTGTGAGCTGCTTCTGCTCCATCTCTGCATAATCTGACATTTATATGGAAATACCCGTAACTCAAAGCGCTAGAATTTTATCCACTTAGAACGCCGTGCAAAAGCAGACCTGCGGGTGAATAGTTTACATTTTGGACTTGAACAACCGTAAACCTCTGTGGCTTTTCTTTATATACTTAATGATGCGCCAACGTTAAATAATGAGGCATAGAATATATTATGTATTTTAATTACATTTGGAAAAAGATTAAATAAGTATTCAAGGCTGTTATCAAATAAAAAAAATGTTATACCCACGCAAATCAATTAAATAAATTGCATAATGTTGGCCATTTAAAACCAAACTAAAAAGATTTTAATATGACAAGAAAGCCACTGATGAGATAAGATGGTGGCAGCATCATGCTGAGGGAATCCTCCCTCAGGAACAGAAAGAGTTATGTTAGAAGGCCATAAATTATCTGTTAGCCTTTAAAGTTGTTGTGGAGGATTTCTGTAAATTTAAAAAAAAAAACCCTGCCCTTTCTACTTTAAAAAAAATGTGTGTGCAAGAGCGTGCACAAGCACATTTCTCCTAGTGCACGCTCTGTTTAAAAGTTGCCGTTCTCATGGCTCATAGAAGCTTACTGTGTCCGAAACATCCGCCCTAAATCCCTCAATCACTATATAGAACGGGGACTGTATAGTGAACTTTATAGTGAACTCAGTTAACTGACCGTTCACTCAAATGATCTCTACCTTTTGCTGCGTTGGTCATGTAACTCCTCCTCCACCACGCAGTCGGCGGCAGCAATCCCATAATGCTTTGCGAGGAGGGCTCTCCGCACACACTGGGGAAAAAAAAGGAAATCTACATAAGTCATTTTTCTTAAAATAAGTGCATTCGTTCTCGGATTCAGGAGGTAAAAGAGACATTTTGCCAATGGAACAAGACAATTTACACTTAAAATTAGAAAACACAATTGCATTGTCTTATTTCAAGTACATATTTAGGGGTGCACGATATTGGGATTTTGGCCGATATGCCGATATTTTAAAACCCATGTAGCCGATAACCGATATCGATGTTAAAGCTGGACAAAAATAAGTAGTCATTGAAAATAGCAGTTTTGTTATCCATTTCTGACACTTTGAAAAATAATATACTCAAATATATTTTCATATGCTGATATCAAATAGATTTTTAAAAACGCGGTATCGATCTATTTTACTTTCAAAATCTCATGAAATTTCATTGTTTTGTTACAAACTCTCATGATATTTTGCAAATTCTTGTGAGATTTTGTTAGTAAAATAGATCGATACCGCGTCAATATATCAACATATAAAAATATAGCAAAATTTGGTGAATTTTCGGGGGATTTCGTAGCATAACGATGACATATAGCAATATTTCATTAGTAAAAGAGATTGATATGGTGTTTTTAAATGGCAATATATCAGCATATGAAGATATTGTGATATTTTAATGTATCAATATTTTTTCCCTCGTCTTTAGACGTTTTTAAGTCTGTAAAAAAGAAGTTTTTGAGGAAGAAGAAGAAGTATTTTTTTTTTTTTTTTTTTTTTAGACTTTAGAAACTCAGAAGCTGATCAAATATCGGGTTAAATATCGGTGGGGTGGCCGATGTCCGATATTCAGTTTTAAGGCCGATACCGATAGGGGGCCGATTATATCGTGCATCCCTAACATATTATCTAATTATCTTATTTTGAGTAAAAATACTCATTCTATTGGCAAACTACCTCCTTTACCTACTTAAATTAAGAGTAAATACAGTTAATTTAAGAAATGTTTCCTTATTTCTAGATCGTTTTTCCAGCGCAAAGCATTCTGGGATATATCTGCCTCTTCTGAGGCCTTTTCTTCTTATACACTTTGTAGACATTTTTTCTCTTACGACCCTCGGCTATTTTCAAAGAACCGCGCTGAGAAAGGTGAGCTTCAATGACCGTCTGAAACCGTAGCTCATCACAGATATACGCCTGAAAGTTTGCATACGCAGAAAAAGATAGCTAACATGTTGAGCACGTAGGACGGCCTTATGCAAACATATCACCAGAATGATTGACAGTTAGGAGGACCACTTATTGAAATGATCCACCCAGAAATAAAAGAGGGTTGGATAGAAAAAAAGATAATTTGGAAGAATGACAACGTCCCGAAGTAAATTTTGTCAGTGAAGTCAACGTTTTACTAACGTTGAGCTACTTTACAGTAAGGAAATGCATCTCTTAACCCTTTAGATGAACACGAGGAAGGGTTAAATAAAAACAATCAGGCGACATGCTTTGAATATTTAAGAAAGAATATCAAACAGTTTTATTTTTCCTTCCTACTTAGCCTTACTTTGTGTGGCTCTATGACACCAAGCTCTATTCTGAGTTTAATTTAGCATCGCCTCTTATAGGGAGGCGTCTATAGCTCAGAGAGTGAAGACTCAGATTAAAAAATAAGAAATTAGCTTATTTTTTTAGATGGACTTTCTGTCAAATAAAGCTTTTTTTTTGCACATGAGCCAATTTAGATTTGTCTCCATCAAATTCAGTAACTTAATTCTGCAGTTAAGTTTCGTGCTGAATAATTTAATTATTAAAGGTGAGAAACTGATGATAAAGGAGCTGCTCTGAGCTTTAATGAGGTCCTCTCCCTGAGAGGAGCAGACTAGCGTCACGTCGGAGGCGGTCACATCTGACGCCGCATTTCATTTCTCCATTCACTCCTCAGAACCAGCTGCCTCGTATTTCCCCGATGATTAACAGCCGTTCATGCCGCCTCAGTTTTTCCGCTTCCATCCGATTCGCTCTGACACTTCCCGATATGTCAAAATGTCGTCTGGGCTGTCTGTTTGCCGTCCTGCTGTGACTCATGCGGCCGCGCTTATCTGACACATCGAGGCTGACGCTCAGACTGACTGGTGTTGTGAAAACTGTCGCCGCTCCCACAAACAGCTCCGCGCATTTTCAAGATGTTTTGCAGTGAAATTAACAACAAATCATCCGTCCACCTTAGAGACAGAGGAATATGCCAGGAACCGTCTTTTCATGGATGCCTCTTCAGATTTTCACAGCTGATCAACACATTTTTCTTTTTAACATGTCGGCTTCAGCTACTAAATTCACTAACTTGTTGCTGGAATGACTACCTCTCCTATCCCCGTCCCCAAACAGGAGTAATCTTTCACTACTAAGAGGCCAGAATCAGTCAGATCAGCTTTAGATTTCTAATCAAATGACCAAACACTGAATGTTTGTCTGTTTCAGCAATTAAACAGCAATTTACTTCTTTCCTTTCAACTATCTTTAACTTCTATTATGTCTAATGTTTAAAAAAATGTATATTTGAAGTGGTTTAACATTAGTTTGTGATGTTTTACCCTCATTTAGTCCAGAAAGAAACCTGCTAAATACCATGCAAGTCTCTCTTCTGTTCATTGCATATATTTTCTCTTTTTTATTAAATCAGTCGTACTTTTTCGTCGTCTTCTAAGGCAGGGGTGGACAATTCCACTTCATAAGAGCTGCAACTTTTAGATCCAAGCTTGGTCCAAAACATCTTGATCAATTAGCTGAGTTACCTCCTCAGTATGCAGTCAGTTCCTCCAGAGTTTTACTTACTTCTCCAATTATTTGATTCAGGTGTGTTGATACAAAGGCACATTTAAATTTGCAGGATTCCGGCCCTCAGGAACTGGAATTGCCCGTCCCTGTTCTACGGGTCTTCAACCCTGGTCCTCAGGAATCACTTTCCAGCATGTTTTCAGATGATTCTTCTTCCAGCACACCTGAATCCAATGATTGCATGATTTCCTCAACAGCAATCAGAAGCTGCAGAAGCTTGTTAGTCACCGTTTATTATAATCAGGTGTATGGAGGCAGGGAGACATCTAAAACATGCAGGACAGTCAAAGACGCCTGTTACAGAGGGACCTTTACAAGCCGGGCTGTAGCCTGTCTTTGAAATTTGCTGCTTTTTCCACGTTTTTTACTGTACTATCATATATATATATATTATACCTAATGCACCTAAATAGCCAGGGAGATACAGTGGGGAGAACAAGTATTTGATACACTGTTGATTTTTCAGGTTTTCCCACCTGCAAAGCTTGTAGAAGACTGTAATTTTTATCATAGGTACTCTTCAACTGTGAGTAATGGAATCTAAAACAAAAATCCAGAAAAATTCAATGTATGATTTTTAAATAATTAATTTCCATTTTATTGTGTGAAATAAATATTTGATACACCAGAACAATGAAACTTAATATCTGGTACAGAAACCTTTGTTTGCAATTACAGAGATCAGACGTTTGCTGTAGTTCTTCACCAGGTTTGCACACACTGCAGCAGGGATTTTGGCCCACTCCTCCATACAGATCTCCTCCAGAGCCTTCAGTCTTCTACAAGTTTTGCAAGTGGGAAAACCTGAAAAATCAACAGTGTATCAAATACTTGTTCTCCCCACTGTATGTAATAATTAAAGGTCGACTGATGCAGTTGTTTTCAGTTTTCTTTTTAAGCCCAATGCTAACTATTTTTAGCATCAGTCTAACTGATCTCTAATATGTGCTGCCCAAAGTTGGGGACAATTTTTTAAGCAAATATTGACTTTTCTTTATTACATAGTAAAAATGACACATTAATAAAGAAACGTCTCAATTTAAACTAAAAAGGAACTTCCAATAGTAAATCAGACAAAGGATGCATACAACTTATGTAGCCTCAGGGCACGGCTGCTGAAAGCATCGGCCCATTTTTATCTACTGATGTGTGTTTGTCCTTCTATCAAACGATCGATCTGTGCATCAATGTCTATTGATAAATATATAAACCCCAACTTGGATTCATTTATTCAATACAGCTTTTTTAGTTTGCAATCTAGTTTTGTCTAAAATAATGGTAATTTTATTCTTTTTTTGTAGTAAAATGTCTTTTCTTTAGGAATGTTTTGACCTTAATGACCATAAGTCAGCAAGAAGGTGCTATGATAATATTTTTCTTTTTCATAGATTATTCTGAAAACTTTCAGCTACTGGAATTGAGTGAAAAAAGCAGCTTAAGTCCAAAGAAAAAAATGTAAACTATTAGCAACATTTTTGCTCCAAAACATAAATGTTTATCTCAGAGTTAGAAATCTCCTGCGCTGTTTCCGTTGTTGGATTTCTGGATCTTTATCAGATTAAATTATAGATGAGGGGTCGTTTGTGTTTTAACCACGCCGATGGGGCTGGATGGAAAGAAGGAAAGGGAAGCATTGACTCGTCATGCCGCTGTGCTTTGCAGGTGCTGGAGCAGTGGGAGTCCCAGCAGGGCCAGAACAGCCCCGCTCAGACCAGCCGCTCAGCTCCTCTTACCTCCCACAGCGCCCCCTTCCCAACACACCACCTCCACAGGGCCTCAGTCCCAGACTCAGCCTCCGAGGCCCTGGCCAAACCAGATCCCTATGACCTATTTGAGAAGTCCATGGCTATCTATGAGAGTAGGCGTAAGTACCGGAGCTCTGATTGCAGGTGAAAACACACACATACCTGCAGTGGGTATGGAGGATAGCATCCAGGATTGAAAATGCTTCCTTTTTAAATCTTCAAATAACAAACGCACAACAAAGAACGGATTTAACCTTCTCTGAAATAAAACCAGCTGTTGTGATATATATAACTGTGATATATCCATGAATAGAAACTCCACACAACCGCTTTATTATGCAGTTCAAATATATGGTACAGCAATAGCATAACTCTCTCTGGCTTATAAAATACGATAATAGTGATTTTCTTCTAGTGTGATCTGATCACAATGCATCACCATATTTTTCCCCATATAAATCCTTATATATGTGAACGTAAAACTGCATGCCCAGGCCTTAAGAAACAAAGACATGAATGAATAGTTTCACAAGGACTGTAAATTTTCTAACAGGACCGGGAATAACCTGCAGGCGTAAGTGACTGTTGACTCTTTGAAATATCTGTTGTGTTCAGGTTTCTATGTGGGATCTCCTGTTAACCTGCTGCAAAGGACGCTGTTTTTTTTTAAAGAGCGGTTCAACATCTGGTGCACTTCATTCCCTTTAGTCATATTGCTATGCTTTTAAAAACGTGCTGTGTGGATGTCAAGTGTTGTTTGAGCTGAAATAAATGATCAAAGTTGTATCTTTGCTCTAACCTCTGCTGGGTTTCCACGGCTAACATGAAGATGCGATGTGACCACTTTACTCGGAGTCTCAGAGGATAACGGCGGCAGGCTGACTCTCCTTAAACTCCATCGTTTTACAAAGCACAGAGACAATGATGGAGAAAGACTTGCCTTTATGTTTTTTGTGGATAACCTCATTGTGGCTGGATGCTGGCTGAAAAGCCCACATGATCACCCCACACCACTTTGCCAAACAGTTAAACTCATAGGGAAATCATATTTAAATGTCAAATCACTCTTTTATCAGGCGGTAAAACACAATTTTTCTTTCAAAGATACATATCCTGATTAAATCTGAGCTAAGAAAACCTGAAGTCTCCCAGAAAAGGTGGATCAAAAGGTGTGGCAGGTATAAAGACACTAATAAAAGAGCATCCTCTCCACATCAAAGCAAGGGGGTGGCAGCATTATGATTTGGGGTTGTTTTCATTTCTCTACCTTTTTAAAAATTAAGATTAACTGACTGAGCTTCATACTGCAGCAAAGAGAGGAAAAGAAAGACATGAAGATTATTAAGAATTTGCTGGTAGATCTGAGCAGACCTGCCCAGAGGAGGTGCCCTAACAAGCTGACACATTTCAGAAAAAAAAGTAAAGATTTCCCCTTCTGCCAGCCTCCTAATCAAAACAGTTCAACGTCAAATTTAATATCTTATTTAAAATATATTTTAAAAAAATCCTGTCTTAAAATCTGTGTGGTTTTTTTATTATCTTCTGCAGGCCAGTTAGTTCTACGTCAGCCTGAACACCTAAATTCGGCCAATCATATATCAAAGGTCATCAAATGTTTTCAGTCATAGCATCTTGATTGTCGCAGCTAATATACGCAACGGTTGAAATCAGAATCCTTTCCTTTCCCATTGAGTTCCGTCCCAGTGTTCACGGGGATGGACGTCTGTGTCTTCGGCAGGCGTAGAGCTAACAGAACTGGCAGCGTTGCGAGGCAAGGGCTCAAACATGTACGGCTGGAAGCCTTCTACACCAAACCAAGCTTCTG